TCACTTGGTAGCCCAGGCTGGCCTCGAACTCATGGAGATCCGCCTGGCTCTGCCTCCTGAGTGCTGGGATTAAAGGCGTGCGCCACCACGGCCCGGCGGAAGAGGGGATTTTAACAGAGCAAATGCCCCCATTGGATTGGCTTGTAGGGAACTCTTTGGGGCACTTTCTTGATTAATGATTGAAGTGGGAGGACCCAGCTCACTGCGGGTGATGCCATCCCTGGGCAGGTGGTCCTGGGTTGTATGAGAGAGCAGGCCGAGCAAGCCAGGAAGCAGCATGCCTCCACTGGTCTCTGCTTCAGTCCCTGCCTTGACTTCCCTCAATAGACTGTGATTCAGGATATAAAAGTTAAATAAAGCCTTTCTTCATCAAGTTGCTTTTGGTCACAGTGTTTATTCCAGCAACAGGAGCCCTAACAAAGACAACATTTGCCACTTAATTTATATAGTAACACTTCATAGTGGGTTTTTGGTTTTTTTTTTTCCCTCGTGTAGACCATGCTGGCCTCTCACTATGTAGCCTAGGATAACCTTGAACTCCTGATCCTCCTGCCTCCACCAAGAGCTGGTCTGCCTCTCTCAGCCAGGAGGAGTATTTTGTAGAGAAATAGGAACAAACTTTCAGGAAAGGATTAGCCCTGAACCCAGCCAGCCTGAGAGTCCTCAAACTGTGCTGGCCCGTGTTCTGGCACGCACACCTTGTTGAACTTCCCTTGAAGAGACCCTCTTTCCATCCCTCTCCTGTACCCCAAACCCTGAAATCCCCTAGCAGTCCCCACCCTGGAGATAACTGTCCGGCTCCCAGAGAGGAACAAGCAGATTGCTTCCAGGATGCCCAGTCTGGCTCCTGGGAGTTAGGAGACTGGGAGGGTGGAGAAGCGCTGTAAGGAGGGCTGGCTGCCCCGCTGAGGAGAGGGGCCCGGGGACCACACCTGGGGATGGGGGTCCCAGCAGCGCGCTTCGGTCCTGTCCTTGGCCTCCATTCCGCCATGCTCTTCTTCTTGGCACAGTCCCGGGCTTTCAGTGTCCCAGGACCAAATCTTGGCACGGTTGACTCAGGGAAGAGAGTGAGGGAGAGGCTGAGACAGAGAGCAGCCGCTCGGTTCTTACCATACTTGAAGCTAAATGATTCTCCTGGGCATCACTAAAAACTGTCACACAGAGCCAGCGTGTGGTCCCTGGGACTGTGCTTATCCAACACGCAAGAAGCCCCGGCCCACAGGTAGCACAAGAAAGAAAGGCCAACTTCGGAGCACTCTTTCTCTGATGTGTTCTCAAGGAACACAATGAACCACCTTCCCCCGACTCGTGAACTGTTGACGCCCACAACATCCTCTATTGTCCACACACGTGCTTCTGTTTGCTTTGCCGGTTGGTTGTGGTTGGTTGTATCAAGGCAAAAAATCAGCTTTCACCTCAAAAGGAATAAGAGAGCGTTTATTCTGGAGCCAATTTTGAGTGACTGTGACCCAGCAACACATTTAGGTCTCTGCAAACACAGTTTTCCAACACAAGGGCAGTTTCTTGGAGTTGTTTTTTTTTTTTTAAAGATTTATTTACTTATATATTTTATGTATGAGTACTCTGTCTGCATGTACATCTGCAGCGAGGCAGAAGAGGGCATCGGATCCCGTTATAGATGGTTGTGAGCTACCAGGTGAGTGTTGGGAATTGAACTCAGGTCCTCAGAAGAGCAGACAGTGCTCTTACCTGCCAGGTCATCTCTCCAGCCACACATGGAGTTTGTATAGTAACAGAACAAAGAAAGTTAGAAATCAAGGCGTTTTAAAAATGCATCAGTGGAGGCTGGAGAGATGGCTCATCAGTTAAGAGCACTGGCTGCTCTTCCAGAGGACCTGGGTTCAATTCCCAGCATCTACAGGCAGCTCACAGTTGTCTGTAGCTCCAGTTCAGGGAATCTGACGCCGTTACATAGACATACATGTAAGCAAAACACCGATGCACATGAAATAAAAATAAAATTTAGAATACACCGGCGGAAGCATGAAGTGGGCAGTTCCCAGGGGATGAGGGCATCTCGTCCACAAGCTCCTCATTTCACCTGACGGTGTTCTTAGGCTTCCAGTAGTAGAGGATAGGTTTTCTTAAGTTAATGCATTTTAAAGGTTTTTATCTGTTTATCAGGACATTAGGGCTGACATAGAGGTGGACAAGGAATGATTCTTTCAGGCTGAAGATGCCCAGAAAACATTGAAATTAGGCTACCAGATAAGCAACATTCCCAAATCTTCCATAGTCGTTGAAGTTTTTATTAGTTGATCAGCCTGTGTAAATAGTTTCTTTCCTGGGGTTCTCATTCACAGTTGATTGGTTGGTTGTTGTTTAGTTTGGTTTCTTTTCTTTTAAAGAATATATTGATTTTTTTAATGATGTGTGTGTGTGTGTGTGTGTGTGTGTGTGTGTGTGTGTGTGTGTGTGTGTGGTGTGTGTGGTGTGTAACCATGTATGAGAATGTACAAGTGAGTGCAGATACATGAGGGAGCCAGAAGAGGGCATCAGAGGCCCTAGAACAGTGGATCTCAACCTGTGGGTCAAGACCCCTTTGAAGGTTTCATATCAGATATATACATTATGATTCATAACAGTAGTAAAATTATAGTTATGAAGTAGCAACTTCATGCTTCCGCCGGTGTATTCTAAATTTTATTTTTATTTCATGTGCATCGGTGTTTTGCTTACATGTATGTCTATGTAACGGCGTCAGATTCCCTGAACTGGAGCTACAGACAACTGTGGGGGTCACCACAACATGAGGAACTGTATCAAAGGGTCAAGTAGCATTAAGAAGGTTGAAAACCACTGCCTTAGAGCTAGAGTTACAAGTGATTGTGAGCTGCACGAAGTAGGTGCTGGGGACTGAGCCTAGGTCCTCTGGAAGAGCTGTGCTTGATCATAACTGATGAACTGTCCCTCCAGCATCTGGTCTGATTTTTTGAAGTAGGGTCTTGTACAGCCCAGCTTGGCCTCTCACTCTCCATCTTTCTTTCTCTACCTCCTAATTGCTGGGCTTAACCACAACTACCCTACATGTTTCTCTGAATTGTCCGGAACAACAACCCTCCCCTGTGCCCAAACCCAAAACAAGTATGTCTACACTATCACAATTCCTGAAAGAACCATGAGCTTTTTAACCAAATAAGTAGTGTACAAGATGTTAGATGCATACATTAACACAACCACCACCCAGAAACAATCCATGGCTCTGGAAGTGATTACAGCCTCTGTCTCTGCTATCAACTTCAACTCCACCCTCCTGTCTCTCCATTAATGTGTGTGTTTCTCGGGGGGAAAGTTACCCACTAAGATCAAACTTCACACACCATAACTTTTAAAAATCAGCCCTTGTGGGTTGGGGATGTAGCTCAATGGTAGAGAGAGAGAAAGGGGTGGGGGGAGCCTCAAGTCTCTCTATCCTTCCATACTGCAGGGTAAAGTCTTCCTCCTCAGCCCTTCCCATAGAGCCATGACAGCTGCTTCCTTGTTCCCAGTGGTTTCTCCCACCTCCAGTGCCATCTCAGCTAATGTGGAAAGAGCCGTTGTCTGCCCATATTGCCCCAGGCTACCTCAGCTGTACTTTACCATCAAGAGGTCCATAGTAATGCGGCCTTACAAAGATTAGATTTGAAGTAAATGATTGTTTATGGCCTTGGGTTTTTTTTTTTTTTTTTTGAGGGGTGGTGGTGATTATTTGTTGTTGTTTTTTTAAAGATTTATTTATTATGTATACAGTGTATGCCTGCAGGCCAGAAGAGGGCACCAGATCTCATTACAGATGGTTGTGAGCCACCATGTGGTTGCTGGGAATTGAACTCAGGACCTCTGGAAGAACAGCCAGGACTCTTAACCTCTGAGCCATCTCTCCAGCCTTTGTTTGTTTGTTTTAAAGCAAACAGGAGCTGGGGAAACAGCTCAGCAGTGGCGCACTTGACCAACCTGTGAAAGGTTCTGGGTCCCATCCCAGCCCTGCAAAACTAAGAACAACAAAGGACCCGTCTTAAATATCCAAATGAAGCCTGTGTAATACTGAGAGGGGAGAGACACTGAGTCTATTATTTCCCAAGGGCACCAGTGGGAAGGAAGCATTCATTTAGATGTGGAAATTTTGGTGTAATGTAAAAACTAGTGGCCTTACATTGTAGACATCTAGGATGGTTTTGAAATATAGAAGCAGCGGGGCCTGACAGAACAGGTCTGTAATCAAAGCTACTCATGAGGCCGAGGCGGGAGGTTCAAAGTTCAAGGCCAATCTAAGGTACAGAGTGAGTTGAAGGCTAGCCCAGGCAACTTAGTGAGACCCTGTCTCAAAGTCAAAAGAACTGGTAATGTAGCTACATGGTTTTGCTTGTCCTATGCAAGGCCCTGGACTCAGTCCCCAGCACCACAAAAGAGCAAGAGACGGGAGGGGTGAGGTGGGGCGGACGGGTGGAGGGGAGAGGGCAAAAAGAAGGAAAAGGAAAAAGAAACATACAAACAACTGACAAACAGTAAAGGCGCCGTTGCTCGATCCTTGCTTGATCCCGAGGAACTGTATTCTATATAATGTTGATTAGCAAACTCCAGCCATGGCCAAATCCTGGTTTAGTGTGGCCTGCAAGATTTTGTTGAAAAAGTCAAAAGCAGAATAGTATTTCATGACATGTGAAAATTATAGCAATCCCAAATTTCAGTGTGAATACGTAATATTTTACTGGAGCACAGCCACGCTCCTTTATTTACACAGTTCCGTGGTCCCTTGTGCAAGATGACAAGTGTCAAGTGGTTGTAACAGAAACTGTATGACTCTCAAAGCCTAAAACATCCACGGTCTGGCCCTTCACCAGGAATATCTCCTAACTCTGCTCCCAAACACTGCTTTTTAGGCCCTTAATATCTTTAGGATGGGTGTGCATCATTCTGGCTTTTCTAGAACAGAAGCCTTAAACCAGAAAACCTGTTCCACAGAGGGGGCTTACTCTTCTCTCACACAAAAGAAATATGGTGCACTCGCTTCGGCAGTGCATGTATTAAAATGGGAACAATACAGAGAAAATTAGCATGGCCCCTGTGAAAGGAAGACACGCGAAAGAAGTATGGCTGAGGATGGTGGCACATGCCTTGGATCCTAGCACTTGGAAAGCAGAGGCACGAAGATCTCTGAATTTGATACCAGTTTGGTCTACATATGGAGTTCCAGAAAACTCTATCTTTTAAGAAGAAGAAGAAGAACAAGAACAAGAACAAGAAGAAGAACAAGAACAAGAAGAACAAGAAGAAGAACAAGAAGAACAAGAACAAGAAGAACAAGAACAAGAAGAACAAGAAGAACAAGAAGAACAAGAACAAGAAGAACAAGAAGAAGAACAAGAACAAAAAGAACAAGAACAAGAACAAGAAGAACAAGAACAAGAACAAGAAGAACAAGAAGAAGAACAAGAAGAACAAGAACAAGAAGGGAAGGAAGGAAAGAAAGAAGGAAGGAAGGAAGGAGGAAAGGAGGGAGGGAGGGAAGGAAGGAAGGAAGAAAGGAAGGAAAGAAGGAACAAATGTGGATGAGCTAGGGAGCTGGCTTCCTTGGGAAAGTTGTTGCTGGTCAAGCATGAGGACCTTAGTTCGGATCCACAGAGCCCACGTAAGAAGCCAGTGGCATCAGTGCACCCGAAGTCCCAGGTGGACCTCTGGGGTGGGCTGGCCAACCGGTCTGGTCAAATTGGTGAGTTCCAGGTTCAGTGAGAGATCCAATCTCAGAGCATAAATTGTAGGTGGCTCAGAGGTAGAAATACTTGCCATGCAAGCCTGATGCCCTGAATTTGATCTCACAATGAAAAAAAAAAAAGTGTATTGGATGGCGCATGCCTGTCATCACTGTACTGAAGAGGCATAGATAGGCAGAACTCTGGGGCTTGCTGCCAGCCAGCCTAGTCTATTTGGCGAACTCCAGGCCAGTAAGAGACACTATCAAACAAAAAAACAAACAAACAAAAAAAAATGGCCAACATCCTAGGTTTTCATTTAGCCTCCACACACTCACACATTCAAAAAAATCACACAAAGAAAAAAAGAAAAAAGAAAGAAAGAAACTAGTTTACGGTGGGATGCCTATGTATTTATTTAGATTTCCACCTAAATAAAACCAGGGTTCCATTAGGAAGGCAGAGAAAGACAGTAGGTGAGAGTTAGGAAGCCGGCTGTCCACACCCTGAGAACAAGGAGACGTCCGTAGCCTTTCCACTGCACATTCATTGTGCAGTAGTTTATAGGTGGAGTTTTTTGTTGGGACTGTCAGTCAGTTCTGTCCCTACAGCCACTCCCAAATAACCATACAGAGACTTATTACTATTAAAAATGCTCAGCCAACGGCTTGGGCTTGTTACTGACTTAGCTCTTGCCACTTAAATTAACCCATATTTCTTATCTACCCTCTGCCATGTGGCAGTACCTTCTTTCAGCATGGCATGTTCATCTCCTGCTTCATCTTCATCTCGCTCATGACTCCCCAGACTCGGCCCTTCTTCTTCCCAGAGTCCTCTTGGTCCAGCTCTCCCACCCAATCTCTTCCTGCCCAGCCACAGGCCAGTCGGTTCTTTATTAACCAATGAGAATAATACATATTTACAGTGTACAAAGACTGTTCCACAGCAGTAGTTTCCTTTAAACACAGGAGCTCTGTCAAGTACTATTTTCCCTTTTCCAGCATAGGTCTCCATTTAGCTTCTTCAGGTCTAGCTCTTGACAAAGCAAATTTGATGTAGAGTGAGGCCTGAGGCTTCACAGCTTCACTGTGGAACCATGAGGAAATTGGAATTCAGAGAGTGCCAGCAGCACACGACCTCACGCTGGTTTCTGGTAGAAGTGGCAGAACTCAGGCCCAGATCTCCAGCCCTAGGTCTGTCTGCTCCCCTCTCACATACAATACCAAAACAGCCCATTTTGACGGCAATATTCACTTTTGTGGGGAACAGAGCCACTATTGGTGAAATTATTAAGTTAAAAGGGAGGTTTATTTTGTGGGGTAACTCACAAGTGAAGGGAAAGGGAAAGGGTCTGGTGGTGTTCTCTGGAGAACTCGGCTCAGTCTACCTCCAGCGTCCAGGGTCCAGGAACCAAGAGAGCCGGCGCATCTGGATCTCGGGTCTTCAGGGTCCTTTCTCGGCCCTGCCTTGTAGGTGTGACAGTTACCGAAGCCTCAATGGGGGTTAGAACTTCCAGATCAAAGCTGGACTGGCTACTCACTACAAACCACCCTTCCCCTTCATAAAAACTAGTAGCGGAGAGTCAGGGTGGAGAAACCAAGGTGGTTTATTCTATAGTCTTGTCAGGTCGGGTGCCAACCCAGACAATGGTGGTAGCACTGAGTAGGCTCAGAACTGTCATTCTTAACTCTAAACACATTTTTGTTTTCTTTTATGTATCTGAGTGCTTTGCCTGTATTATGTAAGTGCACCGTGTGTGTGCAGTGCCCATGGAGGCCAGAAGACAGCACTGGATCCCTGGAACTGGAGTTACAGGGATATAAACCACCTGGCGTGAGGGCTGGGGACTGAACCCAGGTCTTCTGGAAGAGCAACAGTGTTCTTAAGCAGGGAGCCATCTTCCCCCACCTGAAACTGGACTGCCGTCTCCTGTGTGACAGGAAGGGACACTAACTTCTGTACCACAAAGGAGTGAGCTCTAATGTACTTTTGCATTGAAAATGGACCATCATAACTTTATTCTCACTATTTTCTTTTATCCACATTGAATACATTTTTATATATAATTTAACCTTTTAAGTGAATCTAAAATTTCTTCACTCTTTTCATCATAGGACTTTTGATCTGATTTAGCACCTAGAAGCATCACATTATTTTGTTGATATGTCACAGGCATTTTTGTTTATTAATTGTTGCTGTGGAATAATCCTTCTGTACACTGTGTGGATATATGTTGCTATGATGGGTTTAATAAACAAGCTGACCGGCCAATAGCTGAACAGGATAAAGTTAGTCAGGGAAGCCACACTGAGAATGATGGAAGGAAGAAGGGTGGAGTCAGAGGAGTCGTCAGCCAGACGAAGAATGAGTCAGACACACAAAATGGCATAGAAGTAAAAGCCACAAGCCTCGGGGCAGCACATAGATCAATAGAAGTGGGTTAAGTTGTAAGAGCTGGTTAGAAACAAGCCTGAGCTATTAGCCGAGCATTTATAATTAATATTAATGCTCAGTGTGGTTATTATGAAGTGGCTGCTAGGACACAGAGAAACTCTGCCTACAAATTGCTGCCTCAATGAGCCCTTGGGTTAACCCTCTCATGCAGAGAATGATACAGCAGCCCGCTGTGGTTAGGATCCCTGCCACAATGATGAGAGAAGGCTAAAGCCATTACATCTTTTCATTTTCCAAAGCACCTCTCTAACCAATAGGTAAAGGTGTGATCTATTCCTTGAGTTTCCTGCTAACTCACTGGCAAGAGTAGTCAGTACATGAATGGACAACATAATTGCCCCATCAAGAGCAGTAGTCTTAGCCAGGTGGTGGTGGCACGCACCTTTAATCTCAGCACTCAGGAGGCAGAAGCAGGCAGATCTCAAGACCAATCTGGTCTACATAGTAAGTTCCAGGACAGCCAGAGTTACACAGAGAGAAACCATGTCTCAAAACATCTCCCCCACCACCCCTCAAATAAAAGAGGAAATCTTGGGCTGGAGAGATGGCTCAATGGTTAAGAGCACTGGCTGCTCTTCCAGAGGACCCGGGCTCAATTCCCAGGACCCACATAGCAGCTCACAATTGTCTGTAACTCCAGTTCCAGGAGATTTGACACCCTCACACAGACATACATGCAGGCAAAACACCAATGCACATAAAATTAAAAAAAAAAAATGAGCAGTAGTCTTGGGAATAACGTGAGACATTTCTCCCTAGGCATAACACAGTCTCCCTTCCCTGCCAGCACCATGCTGAGTGTGATCCTATTCTCCCAAGACAGTCCACTGGTACCATCCAGCTATCTACACACTGCTTATGAGCCTAGAATGATTGAAAAGCTGTTCTTTATAGTAGATACAGTTAACCCAGTCCACATTTTTATTTATTTGTTTGTTTGTTTATTTGTTTAGTTTTGTACTGTTTTGTTTTTCCATACAGGGTTTCTCTGTGTAGTTTTGGTGCCTGTCCTGGATCTTGGTCTGTAGACCAGGCTGGCCTTGATCTCACAGATATCCTCCTGGCTCTGCCTCCCAAGTGCTAGATTAAAGGTGTGCGCCACCACCGCCCAGCCCTTATTTGTTTTGTTTGCTTGTTTGTTTGTTTGTGTGTTTCTCATTGTTTTAATAAAGAGCTAAATGGCCAACAGCTAGGCAGGAAGAGGTTATGTGGGACTTACAGGCAGAAAGAGAGCATCAGGATGAAGAAGGGCAAAATCACCAGGAGATGTGGAGAGAGAAGCAAGATGAATATGCCATATTGAAGAAAGATACCGAGCCATGAGGTAGAATGTAGATAAGAAATATGGGTTAATTCAAGTTGTAAGAGCTAATTAGTAACAAGCCTAAGCCTTTGTGGGAGCATTTATAATTAATAATTAGTCTCTGTGTGGTTATTTGGGAGCTGGCTGGTGGGACAGAAAATTAGGTGTACAAATGGCACCCAATGTTCGGCCACATAAAACCCTAACAAGCTTAAGAAAAGGTTCCAAACACACAAAAACATTTCCAAACATAGCTGCCTATTCTCACAGTCTCATGCCAACTACAGTACAAAGATGTGTCTCCCAGCAGCTGCCTGCAAGGTGGAGCCAGCCATTAGTACCATGCACCAGCAGCTGACATAGCAATTTAAGATTCATCTCATGTGATCAGAAAATATTACAGATGCTCAGTAAAGACAGATCCAGATGAAAAAAAAACCTCTAAACAGGTTACAGTGTGTTTAAAATGTACATAGGCTTAAGAAACAAAAGAGAAAGAGTATAAACAGTCATAGAAAAATAGTTTAAAAATAATAAGAGAGAAGTAAAATAATAAAAAAATAAGCAATGTAGAGATGGGAAATACATAGGGAGTCTGACTTTACATTTTTTGATTGCTAATGAAAGAACAACAGCTGCTGAGAGACATTGGATTA